AGTCATGGAATATGTACAGAATTAGCCAGTAGAGCAGTTACAGCAATATGAGTTGGGTCCAGGACATCCTGAGACATGGCATTGTCACCAAGTATACAAAAGTCCTGTGAGTGTGTCGTTCTCTCACAGCTGCAGTTTCAAAGACTTGCTTAAGATTTATCATTTATTGTTGTTTATTATTAAACCTTATTTTATTATTTATTTTAATCTTAATTAATTATTAAATTTTTAAAAATTATTTATTAAACCTTACAGCTTTACCTTACCTCTAGGTATTAGAACTATGCATGGTTTTATATATCTCAAATTTCAAATAAATATACAGGAAAGTAGCTAGTATGACCTGCCTACTGTGTGGTAGTAAATTCATATTCTCATCCTATCAGTGGAGAGGCATAGCATTTGGGGATTGGCAATTCTTTCATTTTCTGGTTATTCCAAGCTTTTTCAGTAGAAACAAATTTTCAATAAATGTGTTTAAATGCCAGCTCATGAAAGAATTTTAGGAGGTTCCTCCTAAAACAAGTTCTAATTTTGTGCAACTGTCAGCTCTAAGATATCATCCTTTACTTGAATGGTAAAAGTTGCTTTATCACCTGAAACTGTATTTCTGAAAATTCTCTGGAATTTCTTTGAGTGACAACCATGTTAATTGCTATTCTATTACTGGTGGAGTATATGTGGTTCTATTCAGAAAAATCTATATTCACTAAAAGAGAATATAGAAATATTTTTAGTGAAATCACTGAATAATTTGTACACAATGCCTGGGAACAAGCTCCACATGGACAGAGACACAACTGAAGAGTATGAATGTCCATGCTTAAACTAAGGTTTGTAATCCCTTTATTGGATTTAGCCGGAGAAGTAAAATCTAAGAAATTAAAAGATGACACTGATGTGTCCCCTCCTAACTCTAATTATTGATTGCTTTTATTGTATAAAATACACTTTGCACTTATGCAATTAATTAATTTGTATGTCTTTTCTTAAAGGTATTTTGCAATGGTACAAAAGCATCTGATGAGTTTTGTATGGGAAGAGAAGGCTGTTACAGTCCACATTGAGTAAATATATGCATTCAAAGTTGGGTTGCTATGCGAAGCAAAGAAGGATGATAGCCATGAAGATCTAAGGCTTTTTTTGCTGTCTCATAATAGTGTTGATGCTAATGACCCACTCTGCACTGTCCTTTCTTACTCAGTTGGGATCTCTTCAGGACCTCACTGACATCCAGTCTGCCTCCATGACATCCATTTTTACCCATTGCATCTGATAGACTAACTAATGAAATTGTTTTGTTTTGTTTTGAAACACCTTCTCATCATATCTGCAGTAATTACTTTATTCCTGAGGTTGGAAGCTGTAGGCACTACATTGCAGAGCTCAGGTGTATTTAATGAGTTGAGAGTAGTCAAAATATTGAGGATATTATTCTGCAGCTGATGTCTCTGGAAAGCTCTTGCAGGTACTAAGTACCATTTAGTGTACTTAGAAGGGTAGACTGCAATTCCTGATGTCAGAAACAGAACTATATTTGTTTTTAAGGATATACTTTGAGAGGAAGGAAGGGGCGGAAGGAAGGGGCTGGAGGGGGGGAGGAAGGAAGAGGAAGGAAGGAAGGAAGGAAGAGGAAGGAAGGAAGGAAGAGGAAGGAAGGAAGGAAGGAAGAGGAAGGAAGGAAGGAAGGAAGAGGAAGGAAGGAAGGAAGAGGAAGGAAGGAAGAGGAAGGAAGGAAGGAAGAGGAAGGAAGGAAGTGGCGGAAGGAAGGAAGNAGTTAACTGGGTTAACTGGGTTACCATTTAGGAAAACTGCACTAACCTCTACCTAACCCCTAAGGGCCTTGTAAGATGCACAGGGTTATACAATCAGCTCATGTGCATCAGTATTGCCTCTTATTTGAGGTGTACTTTCATGTAGGGGCTCTAACTTATATGCAGATACATTCTTTCAAACATTAGTGGTATTCAAGCATTAGTGGTATTACTAACTAACAATGACATTATACATATTATTACTATCTTCACAGTTAGGATCTGTTTAGACATTTCTCTGAACCGGTTCCCTTCATGCATACTCCGCTTTCCTAACTACCTATCAGATTTGTCGAAAGAAAGCAGCTAGTATCTTGGCAAAGGGATAGTGAAGAAGTTGTGGTAGGCAGAATGTTTTTCTGCTGAGAGATTCCATTAGATGGTAAGCCATTTTAGGCTTGCATGACTTTGCTTCTGTGCAAAATAACATTTACCGTCAGATATCACTGACAAATAGTTCCAGTGCTGTTGGCTGACACTGGTGCACTGTCTCCTTCGCTTCATTCTTCAGTGGTGTGATTGATTGCATAATTGGTTGATTGATTGATTTTTTTAGTGGAGCCTCACTAGGATGCATTCCTCTTTTAGATGGTTCTGAGACATGAGGGCATATTTAAGAATATAAATATAATTCTACAGTGTTATCCAGACATGAGGACTGTGGAAATTCAAAGTAATTTGCTTTTTCTTTTACACAATGGCCAGAGCTAACTTTTCCTGTTATGTACTAATAGAATTTACAACCTAATGACCTAATCTACACCAAGCTTTAAGTATGAAATCAAATAATACACATCTTTTTCTGTAATATTCTTTACAGTTGAGATTTTCACACCATCTCAGTTTTAGATTTAACGGCTTAAACTATAATACAACTAAAATCTATCTACTTTTTATTCAGACTGGTTTATTACTAATATATTGGCTAAAAATATTGTAGGAGCAAGTGAATGGAAAATAAGTATTTTCATTGTGGAGCACTTCCTTTACCAAATAAATTCTGTGTTATTAGACTCTTAGAAACATAAACTCATAAAATGTAAGTAGACTGACAGAGTTAGTGAGTTTTTCAATACTCATATTTTCCCAAAGATAGGATTCTAAATAGCTGGTAGTGGTAAAAGGCCATATGAAAAAATGACCTGTGTATGAGAATATTCAAGACTTATGTAGAAGACAATAACTATAACATTACTATAATAAATATTCTGCTGCTAATCAAAAAACAGAACAAGAGTTGAATTTTTTTCTATAATGACCATTATTAATGCAAACTAATTCAGAATAGTGTGCTGAATACGGTTAATACGCAGAAAGGCAAAAAGTGTATCCTGTCTACTCATGATAATATCCAGTTTACTAAAGTATATCAGCAGTCTTTATTTGAAACATGAAATAGATATTGACAACTAAGCAACTCATCTACACACAATGAATTTATATACCTAAAATAATTCAATATCTGTAGCAGATCCCTGTCCACAGCACTGATCTTCCTGAATCCTATACTTTGACATTCTTACTAATCATACCTGAATTGAAGTACAAGACAAATTATTAGCTAAATAAATATTCATTTTTCAATGGCTTTGGAAAAGATTATCATTGACTAGGTTAGATTTTCATGGTCATAAGTAAAGTTTTTCATTTAAAAGTAAAAAGAAATTAAATCTAAGGTTACGTATTTCTAACATCCTTCATATTTCTGAAAGAATTTTTTTTTATTATATATATTTATTTTTAAAGAATTTCTTTTAAAGACATTTGAAGTTCACATGTTGAAGGAAAGAATTATTAAAATATGATGGGAAACAGATAGCTAAGGTGCAATTCAATTTTATTAAGAAAAAAGAATCCTGAAGATCTCTGTTTAGATCCTCAATAAAGAATAAATAGACTCTAGAAATTTACTACAGATATGACAAATTTTGGCTCAATAAATGATTTGTGCTGCAATTCCACTTAAAATAATGAATGGATTAAGAACTTGATTAGTACTAGAGATTTATATGTTATATTCTTAAAGGAATAGTTATATAATCAGCTATATAGAAGTTAACCCAAGAAATTCCTCAGTGACAGCTAGACTAAATTTAGTCAATATTTTAAGGCATTTCAAAGAAAAACAATAAGCAAATGTTTGTGGAAATTTCTGAATGCAAAATCTTTAGGCTGTAAAATTCCAGATTACAATTAAATATCATGTATAAAGAATTGATGACCTCAGGCATAAGAGGGAGAAAAAAGTGAGAGAAATCTCAGTGCTATAAAATGCAAGCTCACCTATTTAGGGATTAGTGATATTCCTTTAAATTCAAGATCACTACTGAGCAGTTGCAGAAGAGGAGAAAAAAATCTTGTACTTTATAAAAATGGAGTAACTATGTCTCCATGATGTTGGAACAATAAAGAAGAAATATTGGGTGTATACTTAGATCAGAGACTTCCAGAGAAAGAGAAGAGCAAGAACCAGAGTAAAGATATGCATCAAATTTTTCATAAATTCAGACTCTAACAGGTTCAGAGAAGGAGCAACTGAGGATTGGACAAGATACTTTTCTGTTTATGATACTAATGGATTCCTCTGGCTTAGGTTAGAAAAAAAATAGTTTGAGAGAATATAATTATTGGTGCCAATAAAAGTAGAGGGATCCTCTTATTTTCCTGTTCCTCTTAATGTCACATACATTAAAGTGAAATAAACTGTAAGAGCATGGCATAAATATTATAATTTAAAAGATTAAGAAAACAGTCCATTTCTTTAGATAAAAATGCAAGAAATCATGTCATTCAAAGTGAGAAATTTTTAAGTTTTTTGAAATTATTATTATTCAGATAAGCCTATTCAGTCCTGAGGCATAATGCAATCTCCCATATGCTTAGGTCAACAGAACCCGTGAGGGACGTGTGAAGTGTGCTGTGGCAGGAAAGGCACAGCTTGGGCACTAGTGCCCTGCCCAAAGACAATTCATTCACAGAGATGGGCACAGTTTCTTCCTTCTTCTTCTTCCCACTGCTGCTTCACAAACAGATGAAAGCTGTTCTGTTATGAAAGGCAAACTCCAAATAATGAAAACCATTTTTCCCTGAGGAGGATTAAGTGTTCCATCAAAGCACAACTTCCACCTGAGTAAATTGATTTTATATGCACTTATCAGAATCTTAACAGTTAGCTGAAATGTAGATCAGCAAATGCACACCACTGAGTAAACTTCTGTGAAGTTTATTTTATTTTCTTGTTTGATGCAGCTGAGTCTTGGGCCAACATTTCATTTTAGTTGTTCTGGAAAAATATCTGCCACCTTCTGAGCAGAGACTATGTCACCCCTGCAAAAGTGAAAACTTTTGTTTTCAAGTCCCTCACAAGTACAAATTCAAATGGAATTCACTGGTTTCCGTATGAAATTCTGAATCATGGGACCAGATAGAGTATTTTTCTTATTATTATAAGTGTACTTGTTAGCTTAGACTTACAAAGAAAGACCTGCTCTTATCTTACAGCCACAGAACTAAGTTAGTGTTGAATTTGCAGTTGTAATATATCTGATAAACTCCCTCTCCAATTTCAAAGCAAACATTCAGAGAAGAAAGGATCTCTGTTTTATAAATTATCACCTTTCTTTTGTGGGTGCTCCTGTCCTCAGGCTGATGTTCTGGAAATCAAACTTGTACTGCTTCAGTGAGACAGTGCTGCTCCTAGAACCTTTTAAACAAATTGGTGTTTATTTGGTAAAAAGTGCTAGATTATTTCTTGCTGTTAAAAATAAGAAATCAAAATAAATCAAATTTAAGTGAACACATGGCTATTGAGTTTTCTTACACAGATGTGAGGGGACTGTAAAATCTTTTTTAATTCTTTAGTTTCCTTAACTAATTTATGTGCTCCTAAAAAATTCAAATCCATCCTCAAAAAATTAGACTTAATTATTCACATTTATAGAATTTTTTTTTTTCAAAAAATATTCTCTAATGGTTTTAAGCTAAGTTCTGAAACTGAGTCAATTCTTTGGTATACATGGAAAAACTTCCAGAAAAATGTAGTGCATCATATAAATCACATAAAAGGTTCTAAGGTAATTAATGTTATTTGATTTAATAGCTGAAGTCTGGTAAATAAGAAGTGATCAAACTTGCTTTATCAATTTTTGCTTAGTAACCTCCATGGCTTTGATTTGTTATTTATATGATGCTTCTAATTACATACAGAATTTGCAGATGAAATTAAAGAGATAAATATCAATGACAGAAACATTAGTTCAAATGTTAGCTTAGGTGAAAAGTCGTGCTTTATCAAAAGTTTTAAATAGCTTGAATTATTCTTCTCTCAAGATCAAAATAACATTAGGATGTTCCCTGAGTTCTCAGCTTCTATTTTCTACATATGACTGAGCCATGAAATCTCAAAACAGATTTCCATATGTGTTCAGTTTCATGTGTTATGTATTTTGTTCTATTTTACTTCTTAAGCACCTCATTCAGTAATTCTGTGGGGAAGGCTATGTGACAGAAAAATACTTTGTTGAAAAGAGAGAGTAATGTAACTTAGAAATGTTATTGTTCCCATACACAGGTGGTTGTCTTCCTTCTCCCTCCACTTTCAACCTTTTTTTTTAAAAGAGATATATGGTAGGGCTTAAGTTTGTGAATCACTTTTCCTCCACAGGATCATATCAGTGGATACCTTTTTGAATTGCCTAATTGATTAGGAAAAGTACTTCATTAATGCTTATCTCAGTCAGTTAATGTTTCTCTGCAGTGTTTAGAAAGATGTAAATTTTATTATGGACTGATGGCTTCAGCCCTTTAACCTGGTCTGGGGAAGAGATTCCATCACCAAGACCTATAAATAATCCACTGCAAAATGAAAGCAGCGTTGCCCTCAAGACTAAGGAGATTTTTTACTATTTTTGAATAAGGTAATTAAAATCAAAGTTATTTGCAGTTCTGCCTGTGTACTTGATCATCATCATAAATCAAGGAAGTTTCGTTCAACTTTAAGTACTGATTTTTAAACTTTAAATGTTAAAGTTCCTCTCACAAGGTATTGATATACTTGGCTATTGAGGGAAGGTATACAAATCTGTTTTCTAATCTGTAGAGCAAGTACATTGGAGTGACAGCTTGTGTTTCTACGCATTTATTTCAGTTGGAAACCATCGCTCAGAACTGCAAGCCCACTGATTTGTCTAATTTACGTAAATACCATGAACATCCATTCTGTTCTCGACAGTCAAGTCATAAGCAAGGATTGTAAAATAATCTGTTATAAGCTGAGAATTTTTTTCTTCTTTACTATTAAAAGATTATCTTCAACTATGGCTAAGTCTAGTTTATGAAATTTGATAACAACTTAATTTCTCAGGAGGATGTGCCTTAATTCAGTCAAAATTAATCTCCTTCATGAGCTGGAATCTGATGGGCCAAAGTCAGAATGAAATAATTTGACTCTTCAAAGATTAACAGAAGAAACATGATACAGCATTAACCAAAATACAAACAAACCAGCTGCGTAGAAATTCCTCTGAAGAATTACAATAAGAAACTCTTCAGAAAGAGGTCATTAAGAGTGACAGAAAATTCTTGGCCAAAATACATCTTCCAGCTTTACTCTAGAGCTAGCATTTTTCTGTCATTTTTGTAAACACTAATAATATTGTTATATGACAGACATTATTGTTATAAATTGTTCGTTGATTTGAAAAGGAATGATTCCCCCCCAAAAAAACAAACAAAATAAAACAAACAAAATAAAACAAAACAGCAACAAAAAAAAGCATGCATGAGGAAGGGCACAAATAGCTATGATTTCTTTTGTATATTTTTAATGTAAAAAAAAAGCCACTTCTAAGTTCTTGTGTGCCCATTCCAACTTAGGCCATTCTTTGGTCATATTATTCTAAATGCAATGTGCAGTAAAAACATCCTATATTAAAATTACTTATACGTTTGGTTAGAATTCCTTTCTCTTTTCCTAAAAGAAAAAAAAATAGAGATTTTACAGGCTGGGTTTCTGCCTCGGATTTTTTCTTTAGAAGAATATTTTTTTTCATGTGAAAATTAGCTTATATATGCCCATTTGAACTTCTTTTTTTAAACTTCTTTACTTCCTTGATTCTTCTTGTGAAAGAATGGCTCAGCTTTCAGCAGAATGCATGAGCAGATTGTTAATGCTTTTCTTTTATAACAGCAGTGTATTTTGAGAGTTTTCTTCCTTCTTGCTATGGCAAACAAAAAAAATTCAGTAAATTTTAATTTTATTTTCTTCCTCAATTTGGCAGACAAAGCTCATAATCAATTACATGTATTGTCCTAATTAGCACAAAGTCTAGTGCAGAGCTAAAAGCACCTTTTATCTAGATGAACTCACAAAGGAAATGCAGGTACACTGGACTTGGTACTTTTCTTTTGAATTTGCTGAATTGAAAGCCCACATATATCTTTTCTAAGACAGGTACATGCTACGTGGATATTATTAAACAGGAGAGTGTTGTCACAGCAAGAAATTAGTCTTGTTTAAAAACAAAACAAACAAAAAAACAACCCCACAAACAAACAAACAAGGGGGAAATGCCATTGCTTTAATAAGTCCTTTTCAGGGTCAAGCTGAACTTGTGTTACAGCCATTAATATTGATCTTTTGTTCTTATAACTAGTCTGCTACTCAATAAATAGAAATAATGACTCTGGCAGGGCCCCATTTCACTTCACAACAGACTTTATGTATGAATGCACACTTCCATAAGTGAAGCTATGCAACATGGATGATTACTAATATTATCTCTTTTTCTCTTAATTCTAATGTAATATCTATACTATATATAGTAATTCTATATAGAATTTTTTTGAAAAACAAAGGCCATGTATCAGCTACTGTTGCATCAAATATGCTAATGTCACAATTTAAGGATTAAGTTCACTACTTTCCTGCACATTAAGTCTACTTCTTTGAACAGAACCATTATGTTTGCAGTGGTATTGCTACTACAGCTACTGATTAACTAGAAAGCATCCTAGCTGACATCATTCTTTAACAGGGTAAATAACCTGATGTTCACCATGAGGAATTATGTTATTTGTAAAAGTTTTTCTAGCAAGTAATTAGAAGTGTTATTTTTTGCAGCATTCACTGATCAGATACTTACCTAAGCATTAGTTAACCAAGAATGAACTTTGGCCTCTGCTTCCAAAATTAAACTTGCATATTGTGAAAGACCCATGTATCATGAGTACACATAAGAGATGATTAATTTGCTTTCCATAAGTCTTGCTGCTTGGATATGACTGAGTATATTTTACCTTTCAAATTTGGGTCTGGGGAGGTTTCGTGCTTCATTCATTCCTAGAAGGAGGGAGAAATATGTCCCCATGAATCTTGAGGTGCCACTGAGGGTGAAAACAGCAGTTTGTGCAACGTGTCAATTGCTCTCAGAACATTCATAAAACAAAATTATATGTTTGGGGTTTTTTCTGAAGAAGCTGGGATGAAAAGGCCTGTCACCCATTTTGAATTAGGGACATGCCTGTATCCAGGTCACTCATTTTGGATTACAACTTAAGGGTAATTAAAATAAAAACTGTTGATAGACGTTTTATTAATGTATCATTGATTTACTGACTCATTTCTAGTCAGTCTGGAAAGCCTCCCCAATTTGTCGTCATTCTGAAAACTCTGTGATTCTAGATTCTGTGATCCTAAAGGCAACAATAAGCAAAACTTCTCAAAGGTACAGGACTTATTTTACTAAACCCTTCAGATAATGGGGGAAAAAACCCAACAAAATCAAGGTGGTGATAAGCACTCTAAGTGTTAATCCTCATCATGCCTGTCATCAGCTGTTGGTGTACAGGAATGGGTGCTGCTGGCTGAAGGGTGAGTTAATATGCTGCAATATACTGATCTCCAAGCCTGTTGAACTTCAGAATTAGTAAAAGATTTTCATTCAGTGACCAATTACCTAAGAATAGGGAAAGACAGAAACTACCCTCCTTCTGGGAGCATTAAAGGTTCTGTCTTTGCAACACTTCGTCATAAAAAGCACAGGTTTTCAGATAAAATATTATTTATCAATATATTTAATAAATGATTACTTAGAGGATGTCTTTTATACAACTTTCTGCTCAAAAGAAAGCTGCTGGCAGATTCTTGAAAAATAAGCAGAATGTTACTCAGTCTTATTAATCTTACTAGATACCTAGATATTCTTTACCTGTTAATGGTGTATATCATCGGAGAATCACCTCTCTAGTGCTCAGATTAAATTAGGTGACACGGTGAATACTATTCATACTTTATAATTCTCTTTAATAATGTGTGTTTTTTTCCAAAGCTGCTATCGTGCTGATAATTACATCATTCATCCTTCACATTATGTGTTTTTAACTGCAAAGAAACACGAGGGTGCTTAAGGAACATGTGTCCTCTTCAAAAGTTAGCTGCATACAGGTTTACATATGCTTACTTGTGTTCACTTTTATAGGGAAACTTGAGCAGCATTTATGCTTACTTGTGTTCACTTTTATAGGGAAACTTGAGCAGCATTTTTTGCAGTATTTGAAGTACCACATTAGAACTGTGTCTTGGTTTAAAACAATTTGAAGGACAACACTCTGGAATGTGTTGCCTCCCTCTCTAGGTTTAACCACTTCCTTTCCACTAAAAATAAATAAATACAAATAGATTTAAATGGAAAAAAAATACTAAGAAATGGGACAGGAACAATCAAGAATCAGCAAATAATCATCAGATACAAAGCTCCTAATTTTCACAAAGTCCTTAGAACAAGGGGAGATCCAAAGCTGCAGGGGTGCCCCACCAACAAGGTGGTGTTCTGCAGCCAAGCACGCAGTTTGAAGGACAGATGGTGTTAGACTTCCCCCACTGCCCCACCCAGCTCATCTCCCCAACACTGGCTGGCATTCCCTGGATCTAGGGATTAGAGTTCACAGAGGGACTTCACCTTTGTCATGACAGGAGACAGCAGAAGCAGTCAAGGCAAGGACTTGTGTGACTTGTGGTCTTCTCTCAGTTGGGTGCCTGGCAAGTTGGACTGGCTTGATGGAGTGGGACCACTTGCTCTCTGCCTAGGAGACAGGCAGGAACCTGTGGAATTTTCCCCCAGGTGGTTCAAAACCACTGAGGGCAATCTCTGAGACAAAGGGGGGAAAAATAAAACAGAAACAGAACAAAAAGGAAAGAAGCCTCTGCCTAAAGCAAAACTCCAAGACAGCAAGGTAGAAACCATGAAGCAAAAGAGCAGGAGCTGCCTGCTGGAGGAGACTTTAAAAGCACCTGAGGAGACTTTAAAAGCACCTGTGGTGCCACCCCATCCCATCTTCCCAATTGCAGGACTTTAAGGAGATTGTAACCATTTGGGGAACAGGTAGATATGGAATAGAGTAACATTTTGGGTTACCATGACAGAATTTCAAAGCTGTGTACTTAAAACTGTCAGACAAACAGAGACCAGCATTAGGCATAATTCATTACTGTGCTATTGATAGGAAATGGTTTTTCTTTAGGAAATCAGCTCTGATCAGTGTCATCAGAAGTCATGTAGATTAACACAGGCACTACTCACCGTCATTTCAACAATCAACAGCTATCAGGAGTCCCTAGCTTCCACTTTTAGTGCTGTCAGTAGTCATCCTCACCTGCTGCTACTTTGACATCAGGGACAAGTGAAGTATTTAACCTGCTGTGCTCTCCTAACTCAAGTTCAGGTTGGCATGTGTTAGATGAACATTCATATATACTCAGAAATTAGGCAGACTTCTAGGACTTGAAGTGATACATTTATTTCTTTACATGTATATGCCCCCTGGAAATTAGAGTGGGTGAGCTGTAAAGCATAGTTTGGGCTGCAGATTCACTGATTCTCCAGCTTGTCTTAGAAGTTCCAGAATCCTATTGCATCTATCCATATTAGAGTATCCTAGATACAACTTTTGTAATTGAAGGAAAACTGGGAAAGAATGCAACCGTTCTTGTGGTGGCAGCCTGTAGATGTATTTCTTTCATCAGATGAACAGTAGCATTTTCACCAGCTCTAGGTTTCAGGCAAGGTAGGGAGGGCAGAACTGACACATATTACTGTGACACACATTCAAAACAATGTCCATGTCAGAAGAAAATGAGCACAACATCTTTGCACAAAGAAGGTAAAATGGTGAAAAAGCATCAGATGCGACATTGTTTTCCAAGAGCATTCAGAATGATTGAGTTTAGAAAGCAAAGTGGGAATATATGTAAAGCCTGTTCATCAGTTCAGTGTTGTCTTTCTTTTCTCCCCTCTTTCAGCATTTACCTGCTTTTTTCTTGAGTCACTGGAGCACATCCTACTGTCTCCCACCCACATATCAGCCGTGGCAACTGAACAGATAGTGGCCACAACATGGAGCCCTGTGTCTGCCAATTGCAGCAGAAAGGAACACTTAGGGTGTCGTTTGAGGCGCCAGCAGTCTATCCTGCCTTGTACAATTTCTTCTTTCACAAAAGCATCACAAGGAAAAATAAGCTTTAGTCCTCCCAGATACCACATCTTTGAATTACTGTAGGAAATGGCTTCTGAAATGGTTCACAAAAGAGTTGCTTTTTATTACTAACTTCACTTTACTATTCACTTCAGTCATGACATACAGTTGTGGTAGGAAGTATCAATGACCTGCTCTACAGGCAGGAAGAACATTTCTCCTCAACTGCTAGTAGTTATCACTGCTGGAGGATAACCAGCTGCTGTACAGGCAGTATTTCTAGCACCCAAGGACAGAAATTATGTCAAGTAATTTTTTTTTTTTTTTTTTGTCCACAAGAATCCTTGTTAATAAGACTTTAACACACTGCTACGTATTTGTTTTCAGCTGACCCTGCAAAGCTGTACTAGCAATCCTTTTTAATATGAGCTTCTGCACATTCCCCATGGGCTTTCACCTAACAAGAAAGGCGGAGGTCTCACAGAGTTTGGAATACTGCTTATAGCTTTTTTGTGACCTCTGGGTCACTGGTTGAAACTTGAAGAGATGGCCAAACTTTACAAGTGGTTGTTAGCTTACCAGCTTACTGCAGTTCCAGTAGTAAGAAGAAAAGGATATTCAACTTTACTGTTCCCAAGTTATTATTTCCAAGCATTATTTTATAATGTAACTTGCCAGGATGAAGTGCTTTCCAGTTTTGGAATCTGGAATAAATTCTAAAGAATTGTGCCTCCTTCCAAAAACAGGTTAAGAAAATACTAGATCACACTAGACCACACAGTAATTTTTTTTTCCCTTGGAGGCATTACCTTCCTCTCTCAAGTCCATGAAAATACAACTCGGTCAGGGGAAGTCTAATCTATCACAACAACTTACCCAGTAATTTGTTAGTTATGGCTTTGTCCATACAACATTAGGCTTGAAATATCCACTCCATAACTACTGTATCCAGTGCAGTGCTTTGATGCATAATGAAGGAAGGACAGTACAGATAGATATCCCTCATCACAGAATAGTGCATTCATTAATTATAGTAGTAATTACATTAGCCAGTGACAGCTTTTTTTTCCTGTGAAGTACACAGTTTGGTATGATTATCAAGTGGGGGTTGAAACCCCAGCTGGGGTTGGGGTTTTTTTGTCATAGACTTCAATGGTAGCTATTTTTAAATTCAACATTTCTGATATCCAATAATTTTGGATGCTTACAACAACTTCTCTATTCAAAATGGGTAAGCAATGCCAGGTATCATGTGAGAGACTGTCAGAGTTTAGGGGTAAAGTGCACTTGTTTTGCATTCTTTGTCTCTGAGTCAAACATGCTGTTTGTGCTTAATGTCTCTGCAGATGTGCAGTAGAAATACTGTCTTGAAAATTTTATTTAAATTAAGAAAGTAAGCTTTACTACCAGATTATCAAAACTGGTCAAACTCAAAAGAAAAAAAATGAGGCTTTGAGTACACTAAATTTATTACACAGAACAAGAATAGATCCAATTTACTAAAAAACAAATCAACCAAAAAAACTCCAAAAAAATAATACCAAAAAAACCCAAAACACACAACACTCCCAACCCCCCTAAAATAAAGTCTTCATTTATAAGAAAATCCAGAGTAACCTCCAGAGTTAAAAAAACAGAGTAACCAGATACAGGCTAAATACTGATTTGAGGGAAGAGGCATGGAGGGGAGGAATTTGTGTTGTATAAAATTACACAGGAGGCCTCTGGAAGAATGAATGAAATTATACACACTCTACAACTTGTACAGGAGAGTGCTTTTTTGCTTTTGTTTTTGGTGTGGGCTTTTTTGTGGTTTTTTTTTTTTACTTGAAGACATAAGCTGGGAGGCAGCACAATGAAAAATCCTCAACTAAATCTAAATAGCTACCTTATAGTGATTTCCATGTTGCAAGAACTCTGACCTCGTATGAAACTGGCACTATCTGTGTGTGCACAGATGAATTATGGCATCTGATAGGAGAATTATCTCTCTCAACTTTTCACATATGATGCTATGCAGAATTTAATTTTTTCCTGTCCTTGTGAAACCACTGAAAAAGGCTATCAATATCTTGTAGGACATTCACAACTTCCTGAGTACCTCTGCTCTCCTAGCTCCTCTACAGTATCAAGATTATTTAGCATTCTTTAGTGTCTCTTAAAGCATGCTGAAAAACAGAGTAGAAAATTGTGCTTTACTGTTCATCAGGTTTTAGTGTTGTACTGGGGTTTCAAGGATAAATAAATTATATACTCAATCCCTGTCACATGGAAGCTGAGGTGCCATTGAACTAATGGGCATCTTCAGAAAATGACTGTCAATTAAATATGTTATTTTAGACAGTAATAGAAGTAATTATCTTTTGTGCCTGGAGAGAAAGAATTAGCACTGAGAGGCCATGATGGGTCCACAGAATCAGTCAATAAAGGAAATATTTTACAGTTACTTGACCTGATTACAAAAGATGGTGTTAGAGCAAATGTTGTGTGGCAACATGTAGCATAAAATAAGCCAATAGCACCAACAGGTTGAATGTCACTCATAACAAAAAGGATGCTGCCAATTATAATTAAATTAATGGAATTTAGGGAATAGTATGAACAGCTACAATAAGATAAGTTTTCCAGTATAACAAAAAAAAATAATTTCTAAAACAACTTAGGACTTAGGATATATTACTGTGTTTTTATAACATAGCCTTTTTCTAAGGTAAGATTAAGCAAGATTTGGATACGAGGAGTTTGATACTCATGGGCCATCCTTTTGTCAAAGTACCTCATCCCAATCAGAGCCAGCACATAGACCATCCATCTATTCCAACTGGAGAAATTCAGTATGTTTTTTAATTAACATTCAGGTTGATATAAGCATAAACAATTAAGCAAGCAACAGACTTGGAAGCAAGATCAGTAAGTATACTTGCTGCCACAAATTTTTGGTGCTGTTTGTGGAAGATAGTATAGTTGTTTAATTCCTGACTGAATAGGGTAGTTAGGGAGCCTGAAAAGCATGGCCACACCATCAGTTTAACCACAAAAATATTTACCCCACCATACAGAATAACTAGTCCTTCATTTTGCCAGTTTTATAATCTGACTTCCTCAATTAGGTAGAGGTAAGTAGGCTTGTAATAGGGAAAGAAAGAGGAAAGCAAAATGACAAAGCATGACTACAGTTTCTGAGCCACGTCAAAGCAAAAAGAGCAAAGGTGGATCAGCAGAATGGGCCCTCTTGAGGAAATATAGCCTGAGAATCATGTATTCCCAGGATCAAGAAAAGTAGACATGCCAATGAGGAGAAAGGCCATATAACTCTGACAGTGTGAAAGTGAAAAAATGCATGTTTCTTTCTCTTTCATGTTTTCATTTTATTTTCCTCAGTTTTTGTGGTTTGGTTTGGTTTGATTTGGTTTGGTTTGATTTGGTTTGGCTTGGTTTGGTTTGGTTTGGTTTGGTTTGGTTTGGTTTGGTTTGGTTTGGTTTGGGGTAGGGTGGGGATTGGAAGGGGGTTTTTTTATTATTTTTGTTTGTTTTCAAATTTAATTTTCATTAATGTTATGCGTGCATTTTACCTCAGTCAACTCCAAGAGCTCATTTAGGAGCTGGTATAATCAGTCAGAAGTGACAGAGATATGGCTAGCAGTGAGACCCAGCAAACTCAGCCTTCTTGCAGCCTTCTGACAAATAGGAAGGTGATCCC